GCATCTTCTTCATCTGTTCGGCATACAGATTAAACAAGTATGTTGATAGGATACAACCCTGATGTGCACCTTTCCTGATTTTAAATCATGCATTATTCCCTTGTTCAGCTTAAATTATTAACTCTTGGTCTATATGCAGGTTCAGCATGAACACATTAAGTGTTTTGGAATTCCCATTCTTCAAATGTTATCTAATTCTTTTATGATTCACACAGACTTTGCGTAGTCAACAAAACACAAAAAATATCTTACTGATACTCTGTTTTCTGCCAAGATCCACCTGATGTTAGCAATGATATCCCTTGTTCTAAATCCTCTTCTGAATCCAGCTGAAATTTCTGGCAGGTCCCTCTTGATGTACCGCTACAACAATCTTTGAACTATCTTAAGCAAAATTTTACTTGGATGCTATGTCTGTGCTATTCTTAATTTCCTCATTCTGCTGTGTCACCTTTCTCTAGAATGAGCATAAATACAGCTCTCTTCTAGTCTGTTGGCCATTAAACTTACATATTTCTTGGCATAGATGTGTGAGTGCTTCCAGGGCTGCACCTATATGTTGAAAGGAATGCAACTCAATGGGTATTCTGTTAATATATGGAGCCTTGTTTTCATCAGTGTAGCTTGGATTTCTTTCAATATCATAAATTTTGATGATATACTATCTCCTGAAATAGTTCATCATTCACCAGTTCTTGGTGAAGTGATTCCTTCCATCTTCTTTTGAGGCTTCCTGCATTGTTCAATATTTTGCTCATAGAATCCTTCAATATTTTAACTCTAGCTTTGAATATTTTCTTCATTTCTTAAACTTAAGATATGCCCAGTGTGTTCCTCCATTTGGTTTTCTTTCTCCAAATCTTTGCACATTTCATTACAAGGTTTTACTTTGTGTTTTCAAGCTACCTTTAAGTTTCTGTTCAACTCCTTTTCATCATTTCGTCCATTTACTTTACATTTAATTTTATGTTTCCGAGTCGCCTCTGACAACCATTTAGGTCTTTTCTGTACTGTATTTTTAATGACCTTCTGTTTCCTTCATGTATGATGCTTTTGATGTTATTCCACAATGTGTCTGGTCTTTAATCATTAGTGCTCAATGCATCAAATATATTCTTGGGGTGGTTTATACATTAAGGAAGGATAACTGAAGGACATGTTTTGGCTCTGTTGGACTTGTTTTAATTTTCCTCAGCTTCAACTTGAACTTGCATAAGAGCAATTGATGGTTTGTTCCTCAGTGATCCCTGGGCCTTTTTCTGACTCATAATGAACTTGTCTATTTTCATTTAACACTTAGTTGATTCCTGTGTATTCCACCTAGTAAGGTCCATGTGTACAATCCCCATTTATGTTGTTTAAAAAGGTTATGTCCAGTGAATAGATCATTGATCTTGCAAATTTTTATCATGAGAACTTCAGGGACTGGTTTCTTCTCATAGAATTTTAGAGTGTGAGAGACTAAGGAACATTTTGACTGTAGTTCCAAGACAGATTTTTTTTGTTCTTTCTGGAAGCCCATGAGACTTTCACAACCACAATTCAAATGCATCAATTCTTTGGTCTTCCTATTGTCCAATGTTCACATGCATATGAGGTGATTGAAAATAGCAATGATGAAACATACAACTTTCCTCTAGTTC